TTCAGGCTTTTCGCTTCTGTACACTTTAATCGATTAAAATTCCTAATTTAATCGATTAATTCTCTCTGGTACAGAACATCAGCTTTCTTCAACGGCTTTATTTTTCTCAGCCTATTTAATCCCTCATTCTCATTCATTTCAACACACCTCTTGCACTCCAATATATTTCTTTGAGCTATTCATCCTTTGCTTCATCTTCCTCATCAAAATATTATTTTTGAGAGTTAGAAATATTTTTTCTTTGAGTGCTATAGAAGTTGTCATCCATAGAGCTTAAATCTTTCAACACTACTTTGCTCAATTGTGTGATCTTTCATTCTTGTGTTGTAAACTCAATCTCATTTGAGTGTTGTTCTTAAGACTTGTGTGACTCAAGTCTTGTTGTTGTAAGAAAGTGAGGCTTGTGTGATTCAAGTTGTACCGGTTTTTCAAGCACCCGTTGAAGCTTGAAGATTAGTAGGACTTTCGAGAGAGTCTCTCGGAGGACTGGACTAGCCACGAGGTGGTGAACCAGTATAAATCCCGGTGTTCTTCTTTCCCTTACTCTCCTTACTTTTTCCTGCGATAATTTTTACGAAAAACGTACATTCTTGAAAACAACTCTATTCACCCCCCCTCTAGAGTTGCACTTTTGTCTAACAGAACTTCCTTGGCTTGATAATCCGTGTCAAAACATAAAAAGTGAATCGAAACACAGGATTCATGGGAGTAATCGTCGGGCGCCGCTGTTGGGGAGTGGGGACGAAGTTGCGGATTCTCACTTCCTCTAAGAGGGTGGTCTCGTTGAACTGTGCACCTTCTTCTCCGACATAGAGGCCGAGATCCTCTCCATTCCGACGAAGCCCGGTGAGAATTTGAATGTTTTCCTCATTCAAATAGATGTCCACCCCGTTGACGTTTGAAATCAACGCTCCGTCCTCATCCTTTTTCAAGTTCGAGAAGAAAGCTCGAACAAGAAAAGGTTGATAATGTGCCTTTTTGATGTAGAGGAGGTCGATGAAGTTTCCATGTTCGAGGATAACTCGTGCCTCGCGTGGAATGGACCCGTGAAGGAAGCGGGCGGTGGAGAACCGGGAGGGAGAATTTCCCGGTGCTCAAACTTCTCTGAGAACCTCGTCGCCTCTACGCGGTTGTTGAACCACAAGAATGACCCGTCAAGGTACTTGTGCGCCGGTGGTGGAGGTGCCGAGGCAGAAGCCACGTTCTTGCTGGTCCGAGATCTCTTTCTTTGTCCACCTGCCATTGCAACAAGAGATAGGGAGAGAACAAGGAAAACTTGCAGAGATTTTGTAAAAAGAATGAAGAACAATTGCAAGAAAGATGAATTATGATGAATATATGAAGTACTTTTGATTGGAATGAGTAAAAAATGAAGAAATATCACCAATATATAGAGAGGAGGCCTTGGAGATCCGTTGGGGTGGTCAAAATGTGACTTTAATGTTGTTCAACCAATTCTGAAACGGTCAGATTTTTGAAAATTGACGTTGTCAGTCGATTTACTGCTTCTGTAAATCGATTATCTGAGGCCTCTGATTTTCCGCTGAAGGATCTGCGTACTTGGTTAGTCGATTGTAGGGGTGTTCATCGGGTCAAACCCGGACCGGACCAGACCGGACCGGGACCGGACCGAGACCGAATAAGAGGAACTTTGTGGACCGAGGACCGGACTGCTTAAGGTAAGGACCGGCACGGGACCAGACCGGTAAAACCCAGACCGGACTGGGACCGGACCGAATAAATGTAATTTTTTTATTTTTTTTTAAATTTGGTTTTATTTATTTAATTTAAAGTTTTCAATTGTAAAAAAATATTACTACAATTAATTTTTCATGTGTAACATACACTAAACATTTTCAAATATTGATGTTTTTATTTTTTTAAAACTTTAAATAAAATATATATCCTTCATCCATATTACATAAAATTTGTTTGTAATTTTTATTTTACATATAGAATATTCTTCTTCTTACTGTGTTTTTACTTTTTTGTAATATTTTTTTTTGTCTTTTTGGTTTTTTTGATAGACGGATACATTTTTTTACTGTTTTTGTTCATAAGATTGTTTACAATATTTTTTTGTTGATTGGAGTTTTATTACTGATAAAGTACAAACTTAAGTTATAGTATTGATACATTAATTTGAAATGCATTATATCGCTTATGTAAAGCTAATGTTTACTTTTTCACACTTTTCATGTTAAAAATATTCAAATATCATTAGAATTAATATCTTACTAGTTTTCTACCCCGTGCTTCGCACGGGCTCGTGATTTATGCTGAGTGTTTGCGTTTTTTAAATGTATATTTGATAGACAAAATAGATGAATACTCAGAAGCGTAATGTGTTGTTCGAGTAGAAATAATCCGTTTTAAAAGTATGTAAGTTTTCATTTTTTAAAGAACTCCAAATTTAAGATATTCAGTTGTGTCGTAGTTTAATTTTTTAAAAAACAATTTTATTAAAAAAATGTAGAAGAGTGTAGGAACCCATAAGAAGGGAAAAGAAATAGCAAGAGAGATAAAAACGAAGTCCCTTTGAACTAAAAGAGGAACACGGGAAAAGAAAAAAATCCAACATTATAACCAAACTCCAACTCTCATGTTCCAACGACTACACGACAACGCCAATTATCACAATGCAAAATAATGAATAAAGCTAAAACTGTCATCCAATAGCCAAACAAACCACAAAACATCCTTACCAATATTCAAACTTATTAAACTCAAGTGTAGTTCCCACAAAGGACATCTTGGTCAAAATTTGAGTATAGATTTTGGTACATAGGTGTAGCAAACAACAGTTGTATATACATTCTCCAACTTCACCACTAATAATCTAGCAAAACCTGAGACTCTTCAAAGCAAATAGAAACGGAATCAAACTACAAATAGAAGTTGCACAGCCAAACAGAACTAAACTTTTACAGAACTAATACCAAGCTTTCTTTTTTCACCTGTTCAATATGTAATTATATATAGTGAACGAAAAATGTTGACTCCATGAAGACATGCAAATGATATTTGACAGCTAAACCCCAACACTAATAAAGATCGGTATTCATATATTGTAAAACCATATGATTGGGTTTGAAAAAGAGTACATGAGAAAATGAGTACTTTTCCAGCCAAATGTCATTGATATTGAACTGCCAAGAGACATTATACCTATTTATACAAACTCAGGTTGTCTTCTGTTCCCAAAATGTTATCCGCATTTAGTAGAACCATCAAAGGATATAAGAACAATATTTTGGATATCAATTTTTTATAAAGGAAAGATGAAGGTAAAAGATGTTATAAGGTGAAATACCAAAAACAATGGATATCTACAAAGGTGACAAATGAAGTCAATCATCAAGAATCCGGTTTCCTGAAGGAGCTTCACCTGCCACATTCAAAGAAGCTACAAAGACACTGTAAATTCAAATTTAAAACAATAGTTAATATTCTATTTAAGGAATAGTGATTAGTGATGTATCCAAGAATCTTTATAAAATAAAAATTTTCATTCTTTTCAAAATGAAGTTGTAAACAGCTGACATTTCAAGATTCACTTTAGTTGAAAAGTTCAGGGAATATATAGTGAAAATTATGCCTGTATATCGAAACATTATCTTTTGCTTTTGTGTACCCATTTGAGAAACACTATAGTTAATATACAAATGAATTTTATTAAAACAAAGTGGTTATGTCGTATCAACTGAAGGCAATTTGAGGATAACATTTTATGGTAATTGGTTGTTCACACTTAAGAAGCAATGGTCTGAAGAAAGAATTAGAAGCATATTTTGTTCCCAAAATGGTCTGAGAGAAATCATTATAACATGGTGATGAAAAAATGACTAATGACATGAGGAATTCATTCACACAGAGTGGGCATTTAACCTTGGTTTTGGAAACCACTAATAAAAGTAGAAGCGCATTAGCATGAGCCACTTCTGATTTCTTCGTGAAGTTGCTGCCTTGTACTTGCATGGTTTGACATTGTTCTTCTCAATGCCTCTCCAAAACTAATGGCCTTTTGTTCCTTTTTGGTAACTATAAGAACTATTGCCTAATTGATTAATAACCATGTAATTGATTCTCTTTGAAACTTTGGTTTAGAGAAGTAATAAACAGGGAAATTGTGATTTGATAAGCAAGAAGTCAAAATGCTAGGTCGTCTTTATTGGGATATAAAAAGCAATAGAACTTCCCGATAAGAATTCTAAACATGGCCATTGTTTGCAGAGTACCCCTAAATAGTTCAAAATAAAACATGGAAAGTAGTTCATGCAATGTTAGTAGTTCATGGCTATGTGTAGTTTGCTTGCTTTTGTATGCTCCATGGATTTCAAGTTTTTCAAGGTAGCCCGCAATAGATGGATCTCATATGTGTACTAAATTTGGAAGATGAAAAACGGATGGAATATGGAAGAACGGGGCAATAGAAACAACAAAGCCTCCTCGCATGCACAACTCTCTTAACGTCCTATGTGGCAGCGAGTTTGTAAATATTACGCTACGTGGCAGACACATGGCGGATCACGATTAAACCCTGCTCACTTACACACACACAAACACACACGTATATATACATACATACATATACATACATACGTACATACATCTAGAGAACACCGGGTCTGCAGTTTCTATAAATTTTGGACCACTGTGAAGTTAACTTGCTCATAGCCCTACATTTTCAAAGTCTAATACCACCATAAGGTCAGGCAGGTTATCACGCAAAACACATTTTATAGTAGGAGTTCATGCTCTAGATCAGTAAAGTCATGGTAAACTTTCACATTGGTATTTGGAAGGTCTAAACTGTGTTGAAATAGGCTTTTCAAGAGCATCTGAGCATGTAATCACAATTGCTTATTAAACCAAATACAATTTGTCCTCCAACCCTTACAGAGTGTATACAAATCTATTTTTATATAACTTAATAATTTCAGTTGCACAATTTTTTTCCTCTATGGTGCTTTAAAAGGTTGTGCCCCACGGTAATTGCTTAGACCTTAAAGTGATCAATATGCTCACGGTTTGGGCAATTCTAAAAGGGCTTTCTTACTCTCCTGTGCAGTTTATACTTTTCCAAAATTATACTTTGTTGCTTTACTTTTTAATCAACCAGTCTTAGCCACATACCTAAAACAATGCAACATTAAAAGACCACAAAAGTAATATGCAATTCTCCAAGTTGTATGGTGCATATGTTTTTCCAATTAGCCAAAGTTTTAAAATATAAACTAATTCAAACAAACACAAATATATACAGCTTTAAATATTAAAAAACATTAAAGGAAAACAATGTAAGGACTTAATGTTTTAAATTTTTAGATATATTCTTGTTGTTGTAGTGCATCTTTAATATTTCCTGGTGCAGTTTAAATGTTTGATTAGGAATAACTATCAACACTTGTGTGAATCTACTCAATAAAGGAAAGTCATGGCGTCAAAGGTCCTGCTAAATCATTGAATTGGTTGCAAATCCATAACATAACCATCAAGGTCTAGCGATGTGAGGCTATTTAAAAATTGTTGTGTTGCTGAATTGTGACCTGTAACAGTTATTGCTGCGTAGTAGTTTTCATTCTTCTTTGTAAAAGAGGGTATTAATTGACACAATTCCTTGGTAGTTGTGAATTGTGATTGAAAAATGGATTTATCTTCAATCTTAAAAGATAAGTGAGTCTGATACATCCAAAAATAGTACTTTTTTTCAAACCAACACAAAAGTGTTGGATCCTTAGTTATAAAATCAAACCTTATTAGACAATGAGAAAAAAGAATCTTACCCTAAATAGCTTTAAATAAGATACTAACCAAATTCAGAAAAAAAAACAAACTCACAATTCAATCCTAACATATCCTCAAGTGAGATGATATTCTTTCACTTATCGTGTGTATGCCAGTACACTCTCCAACCACTTATTTATTCACCTAAAATAACCTTTCTCTTCTCTTTAACAACACATCAAAAGTGATAGTACTTAGCGTCTCATTATTATTCTGGAAAAATGCCGCATATAACTTGATTGTAGAAGAAATCAGAAGAAACTCAAACGCAAATCAAAACAGTGTGTTGGACGCCATCCAGTGAATCCACCTGGCTTTAGATTCAGAGTTATGCATCATAATTGTGGTTTGTTTTTGCCTATTTATTTATCCACCTGATGTGTCAGTGATTTGCTTCAAAGGGAGGCAGTATATCTTTGCCTTAATTCAACATAGAATTGTGAGTGATAACATGCAAAATTTAAAATTAATATCCCTAAACCAAATTAAAGGAACGGGGAACATGGGTCTTTTGCGTGAACAAATAAATCTTTGCTTCAATTTAACATGGAATTGTGAGTGAAGACATGAAAAAAATTATATAATCAACATCCCTAAACCAAATCAAAGGGAAGGTGAAATTACCTAGGCAATGAGGAACGGGAGCAGAACTGGAGAGGAAGTATTGTAAACCAATTCTACCAGAGATTGATGAAGGAAGGAAAAGGCGATTGAACCAAAGCCTGCATCTCTCCCTGTCAAGCTTGAAATAATTAGGGAAAAATTTTAGGGTTTACTTTATGCCATGTTGAAGAAGAAGAAAAATACCTGTAGTTGTAGTCGTTGCAGCTGGTGGTCTGGGCCAACCACGTCAATCGCCTCTAGGCAACGCCATAGGAAAAATTGAGCAAAACCAAACCACCACAATCGCCGCCTGAATCACCACAACTTGTTTCTTCGTTTGTGAGAGAGGCCACGAATGCAAGGAAATTAGAGGCACGTCTTGACTCCGGCAATGTCGTGCACCCCATAGGTAAAATTGATTGAAAGACGAAAATAATCTGCGTTGAGGTCAAAGAGGTGAAGAGGTTTCAGGTGCCTAGTGCAGAGAGAAGCTGAGGAGGTTGAGCATTTGTTCAACGCCATCCAACGCTCTTATCCCTCATGGCATAGTAATCCAAATCATGTGCCATGTCACTTGACACGTGTCTCTGAATTTCTTTTTAAAAGATTACAACATAAAGCATTTAGCATTCATTTGGCTTATAAGAACCAGGAAATTTATAAGGTGAAAATTGTACGAAGTATATAATAAGAACCAAGAAATTTATCAATAATATACATAAATAATGTCAGATGGATTAATTCACATCACTAATCATCAAAGAATACAAGAGAGGAAGATTTAGTATAATATACACCTTTCTTATTAATTAAATTAAATCTTATTATAGGTGACAGAAACAATAGAGAGAAATGGCAATGATAAATTAGGAGAAAATATGGGGAATTAAATTCAAGCACCTTAAGTTACTTTTGTTTTGCTCCATCATGGATCATCATCATATATTTTGCTTGAATACCTCCTGTGAACAGCCACCATATGGAGTGAAACCAGCAATTGACTTTGAGACCACTTGTGGTTCTTTAACTATTAAAATGGACTTTTTAAATAACACATAAATAATAAAAATTCAAAAACTTCCTAATTACTGTTCACTTTCAACTCCCACATTCAATTTAAAAAATTAGAAAACATGGGATAAGTAATTTCAAAAATGGGAAAAAACATTTGAACACACCTGATGTAGAAGAAGACTACTGGATAATGATTGTGGCAATTTGTGGACATATGCTAAAGTTGATGAGTTAATTGCTACCGTCAGTTTATCTGGACATTAACAATGGGAATTTGATGTATTAGGAAATTGATGTATTAGAATAGCAATTTGTATCTCATCAAACAATAATTATCAGTTATGTCATATGATTGTTGATCCATTAATCAGATAGCATACCGATCGTTGATGAAGTCTCAGCTCCACGCAATCTGTAACGCAAGACATGGAAGGATTCCAAGCGCGGAAGGTTAGAAGGAGACTCGTCCGATCCCCCACATAGCCGATTGAAAAAATTGGAGAGAGGATCGGCGAATAGCCGATCGAATAGTCGATCGAAAAAATTGAGGGAGGAAGGCGACTCGTCTGATCTGATCCCTAAATTGCCTATACATTTGACATGGCATGTCCAGTCATTTAAAAATATCTATATCATCAGTCTAGTCATAAGACACGTGTCAACTCCACAATCAATTAACCCTACTTTATATATATATATATATATATATATATATATATATATATATATATATATATATATATATATGATTTTGAATGGGAATATATTTAAAAAAATTATATTAAATAATAAAATCAAAATATTTTAAAAACTTTTAGTATTAAATTTAAATTAATTTTAAGTATAAGAAAAAAACTTTAAAACTATATTAGAAAACTATATAAAAAACAAATATTTAAAAAAAAATGTAATCGGTCCACCGGTCCGGATCGAAACCCGGTGGACCAGACCGCACCAGACCGAAACCCGAATAAGGAAAATGTGAGGACCGAAGACCGGACCAAATAAGGACCGGTCCGGTCCGGTTTTGGCCGGGTTTCGGGTCGGTCCATGTAACACCCTAATCCGTCCAGGTCTGCAGCCCCATTCGGACTAAAGTATTTAACTTGGTAATCGTAAAATTTAAAACTTTTCAAACACACTTTATTAATCTCAATAATATTTTTCATAACATATACAGTACGGAGTATTTAACAATATTGCGGAAGCGAATTTAATATTGACATATCATAAATCATTTCAAAACTTGTCACATCCATCCCGACAATCTCGCCCCATNTATTCACAATATTTTATTTTAAGTCATTTCATGATATATTCAATATTAAATATTTCATCAGTGCTCTTAAATTATTCTTAATCTAAGGCCAAATCATTTTTATACAAGCTCTTAGCTATCCCTAGTCTAAGGCAATATTTCTAACCAGGCCCTTAAACTATAAATAGTTTAATGCAGAACACAAGAATCGATAATCCACCCTATGAGTCATGTGGATTACGTACCAACCGAAAAGTGAACTGTCGGGTGGGTGATATCGGTTCTGGATCCCGTACGTACGTTTTAACCCCGAAATATGAATTGGTCAAGGAGGTATATCTTAGAGTTCTTCTAGATATCCTTAATAATCATCATCAATTTTCCAAGTGGGTATATCTTAGAGTTCTTCTAGATATCCTTAACAATATACATCATTTTCATAATCATCAATATATTCAATTTTTTAAATCATAATTTAATCATTCGTAATTATTATTTTAATAATAATATTCATCAAAGTCTAATCATAAACAACATCAATAATAATCATCACAATATCTAATAACAAATAGCGGCATAGCATCGAGTGTTAACACCTTAGCTTACCGTCATACATCACATAAAATTTTATTTGTCAAAACATCATTTTTATTTTTAACAATTATTTTTATATTGATCATAATTGATTGGTATATAAAACAAATAGGATTTTATAGCTTCAAAAATAGCATTTTTGGGCTTAAAAATGTTCGTAACGGTCGACCGTTGGGTCCGAACGGTCGCCCGTTCCGCTGGAAAATGCAGGAAATTGAAGGTTCACTATTCATCATCTTCAACCTCTAGCCCATTTTTCTCAAGTTTCATTTTTGGTCACCAAACTTCAATTAAACTATATAGAAGTATTCTCCAAGGTTCGTAGATCATTTTAGAGGCATCAATTCGAAGTTTTAACATCAAATTCAAGGTTTATGATTCTTGGTTTTCACATATGTCAAACACAAAACTCAACCAAACGACCATTTATGAGCGTAGAAACGATCTATACGAACATTCTAGTCACTAGATATATATACGGGCTTACTTCGAAGTAAAACGATGATTCCGGCGGAAATATGGCGAAACTTCCGGCGAACACCATGGATTGCTCCGGCGACGGGAAGCTCTCCGGACAGCTTCTCTTAATTCTCCGAACTCTCCTCTAACTAATGGGATGATTTTGGTGGGGAGATGATGAAGAATGAATGACCCTATATATAAGCCTGGGAGAGGGAGTGGTGTGTTGGAGCTCTGTGATTTTCCTACGTTGGCCGATCGTCTAAGTGGAGGAGGCGGCTGCTATTTAATTCCTTCCAGTTTAGTTTGATTAAGTTACCTCAATTGGGGTACACTTTTTGGTCCAATTTTATCCAAATTGAAATCCGTTCACACCGTTGCGATCAGACAGTCAAACCCTATTTAATGATATATTTTTTATATTTATTTGAAATACTTTTTCTGACAGCATATTTTTGGGTGTTTACTTTGATAGAGTCAAAATTGAATTAATTGATATGTAATTAAAATTAGTCTCATATTCAACCAATATTATTAAATATATATATTTAATTCAATAAGTCATTTTACAAAAGTTCACTTCTTTGACTTTTTCTCATTTTTATACAAATTACATATTTAAAATGTCATAACTGAACCTCTGTACATCAGATTTACTCATAAAATAAACCGTTGGATTCGTCTCTTCGAGACCTATCCATAAAAGTCAATCTTAACAAAAATTATTGACTCCAAAAATTCCTTCATTTTTGGTCAAACATAGAAATAATGTTTTGTTGAGTCAAAATATGGTTTCTAAAAATACTTTTATAGTAGAATAACTTTTAGACCATGTTTTGGGGCGTTACATTTCTTCCCCCCTTAAAGGAATTTCGTCCTCGAAATTCATCTAAGGTTCACCGATCAATATTTTGTTGTATTTTTGTTTAATCATGACTCCGTCATGTTCATTCATTATGATTACGTCGTTATCCCTACGAATACTTATTCTCAAACCGTTTTTGTCATCATACTCGTTCTATCTTCGAGAGACTTTAGGTCACCCCAATATTCAATGTAATTTTTCTTTTTAGAAATATTGTTAAAACCGAGTTCTTGAGATTTCCAATAAAGATGTGATATTTCACCCTGTGGTTTGATGTCAATCTTTGAAGACTTAACCAAAATTAGTGATATGGAAATTGGAATTCTTGATCGGATATGTCAGAGACAAGAAAGGAATTCTCAAAGCAGTTGACTACTTTGAAGATCCTCTAATACGGAACACTACATGATAACCGGATGTCTCGCAAACAACCCGCTGAAGGCTAAGTCATCCGGATTGGAAGACTAGCGCGGATCTCTTTCTCACCTAGAAGTCTATAAATGACTTTTCCGGAATTGTCAGCGAAGAACAAGATGCCTCAAGAAAGATCGGAATTCTCAGAAGCAGACAAGTGAGATAAGGACTTAGAAAATTATCTAAGTCTTGAATGAAGAAATTCTACCCGTTGGTAAGGAAAAATCAATCTCTTGATTTTCAACGGCTAGATTGAGGATATTTAAGCTGATTCAAGAACAAATGACTTGAAGACAATGTCTGGACTTCTCAAATTAAAGAGCTTGCCCAGAATTCCAAAACAAGCACTAGAAGACAAACTGAGTACTCCACTCAATAAAGAGCTACATTTCAGAATTCTTGAACAACAGCTAAAGGACGGATTCTGTGAAAAAGGAATCCTTCTTCAAACAATTGGGTGTGTCCAAACACCCATTCGAATGAAGAATCCTCAATCACAATCTTCATTCAAATTGAAGCCAACAAATGCAACAGATAGTCTATTTTGATTCAACGGATAGATTATCCAATCCAGCTATATATATAGCATCCATGGAAGACTGGAGATAGACAAGAGATATATGAGATAGAAAGCACGAAACACATACAACTAAGCAATCTCATACAACAAAGCTATCTCGTTCACAGTTGCCAAAAAGCTTGATAAAGAGAGAATTCTAAACTCCTTATCCAGAAGCAAACTTCTCCTCCTTCCAAAGAGCTATAGTGTAAACACTTGAAGGTTTCCTTTCCTCAAGTACCACACCACGTTGAAGGATACATCTTGTAATCAAACTGCTTGATTAAAAAGGGGGTACATCAACTTTCCTACAAGTTGATCTTGCAAGTCCTATTGTTCGGATCTTGCAGTTGTTGAAGAAGCTTGACCTTCGAAGGAACAACAAAGCCAGCACGTGTGTAGTAGCAACATTGGCCTTGCGAAGATATACCATGCAAAAATTCACACAAGCATAATTGTTGGTTCTTTATTCAACAACGAACTACATAGTGGATTTTGAGGACGTAGAAGGATTACCCTACCTTCGAACCTCGTTAAAGTTTGCGTGTCTCTCTCTTTTATCTTTACTCACACTTGCAATTATATTAACTGTGAAACTAACCCATCCATATTGATAACTACTCTACAAACCTACCAACTTCCGCACACAATCTAAGGTTCACAAGAACTCTAGATTAACACTCATTTTCACGTTTTCAAAAGAAACGAAAAAGTCTTTAAATTGTAACAAAGTCTATTCACCCCCCCTCTAGACTTTGTATCTCACCACTTTGGGACCACCAATTGGTATCAGAGCTAACTTCTCACTATCTACTCTTAGATTAAAGAGAAGCGATCATAATGGTGAACAATATGGATCATGGTTTGCCCAAGTTCTCTCTTCTAGGTTATGATGATGGGAAGATCATGATGGAAGCACACCTCTATGCCCTACATAACTGCATGTGGATGGTGCTTGAAGATGGACCCTTGAAAATCCAAATGGAGAATCCAGAGAGGAATCCAACCAATCCAGAAGTGGTCCAGTACATTCCAAAGCCCAAAGAGAAATGGGATGATAGAGATTGCAAAAAGCACAATCTGGACAACGTCACCAAAGCAGCCATCTTCAAGACACTTGATCCCATCACCTTCTCCATGATCAAGCATCTCAAGACTGCCATGGAGATATGGCAAGGTCTTGGGAAGTTATGTGAGGGATCGGAGGATCTGAGAAAGCAGGAGATAGAGGTCTTGCTCGAGAAGTTAAAAAGCTTCAAAATGTTTCCCGGAGAATCATTCGATATGTTGGATGAAAGATTCCACAAAATCTTGAATGATCTTGCATCACTTAACCACGTTCTTTCTCCCAAAGAAAAGAATGTAAGGTTACTGAGATCTCTTCCAGCTGAGTGGTACACTAAAGCCACAGCCATGGAAGAAGGAAGAAATCTAGAGAACTAAACTGTCCAAGGTCTCCTAGATGAGCTCAGAACCTATGAGCACAAGCTGAAGAAGAAAAAGGAAGAACAAGTCACTTCATTTCCCACGGCACTAATGACAACTCCCAGAGTCCCAGCAAGCGAAGGGACATGCCCAAGGAACTGTGACACTCCTTCATCCAGTCAGCCACCTAGCTCAAAAACGGAGAACTACGATGAGGAATTTGCAATGATGATCAAGCAGTTCCGAAAGTTCAAGAAGTTCTTCAAGAAAACTGACTTAGTCAGAAGGCCATCCAAGGGAAAGCTACAGGTAAGCGACTCCCCTGTTGAATCTTATTTGTGTTATAACTGCAGGAAACTTGGCCACGGGAAGTCAGCATGCCCGTACCCAAAAGTGGAGAAGTACGGAGAAAGAGAAAGAAACGAGAAGAAGAAGAAGGCAATGGTAGCAGTTGAGAGTGACGAGTCATCCAGCTCAAGCTTGGATGAAGAAGCCCTCGTCTGCATGGAGCGCAGAGCTGAGAAGTCCAACCAAGAGGATCGGTGGACTATGTCAGAAGATGACACTCTCTGCCTAATGGCCAAAGATGATGCTGAACAAGAGGTAACATCACAAACCTCTTGCTCATCTTCTTATGAAAGCATACCAACTTCTGAAAATCTTTTTGACAAGTTCAAAAAGATGATGGAAGATTTTGAGGAAATAAATCTTAAACACTCATCCTTAACAGAACAAAACAAGCTATTGAGTGAAGAGAATCTCAAGTTGACTGAAGGTCGGAAAAGTCAACTAAGTGAGATCACTCAACTCAAGGCTGAGAATGAATCTCTTTCTGAAAAGGTGAAATCCCTCAACAAGGAGCTAGGGTTACTAAAGTCCAAAGAAGCAGTGGATAAGCTTCTTGAAACGACCAAACATAAGGGTCGTGAAGGACTTGGTTTTGACCCCTCCAGTTCCAAAAGGAAAGGGAGAGCAACTTTTATCCCTCCCAAACCTACTGCCAAACCTAATAAGCAGAAAGGTAAGGAGAAGGAGTAACCTAAAGAAGTTCCCAAAAAGGTAGTCCCTCCTAAGAACTCTAGGAAGCTGGACACACCTCAAAGAGGAAAACAATTTCAGAAGAAAACCTTCTAACCCCTACTATACACGAGGCTATACTCATTATGGGGTAGATAGGAGTTTTTCGAGAAATTCTGAGTGGAAAACTATGCCAAGACATAGTAATCCTCCACCCCAGAAACTATTTGTTCCACCTAAGTATGTTTACAACCGTCACAAACCACAATATGAACAACCTAGACAAAACTATAGGTCTTATCAACCTAGGTTTGCTAGGAGGAAACAAGAAATATCACCACCTGCACGTAGGAAGTTCTATGCCTACAACTATGACTACAATCCCAACAGGTTTAGAGCTGCAAGAAAAATTCCCTGCAACTTCAAACTAGATGTGGGAACACACACCATTAACTATTTCAGACCCAAACTGAATTGGGTACCAAAATCTTCCTCCTCCTAATGCAGGAAGCCGCAAAGTACCCAGGTGTCTGGTACTTAGACAGTGGTTGTTCAAGACACATGACGGGTGATGCGAGCCTTTTGAGCAATCTAATCCCCTATGATGGTCTAAAAGTTACTTTTGGAGGAAGCAATGATTTTGGACTTACAAAAGGGCTAGGAAATCTGATGTACAAGGGACTAACCATCCAATCTGTATCTTATGTGGAAGGTCTCAACTATAACCTTCTTAGCATAAGTCAGTTTTGTGACAAGGGTTATTCTCTGGAATTCTGAAAGGACATGGCATCCCTCAAGAACATATCCACAAGTGAAGTCATTCTCACTGGGAAGAGAATTAGAAACATCTACGAAGTAATGTGAGAGAATGTCAAGGAAGCATGCCTAATCAGCAAAGGTGACACTAACCTTCTATGGCTTTGGCATAAGAGGTTGAGCCATCTCAACTTCAAAACTCTCAACAAGCTGTCCAAAGAAGGGTTAGTAGAAGGTCTTCCCAAAGCAGTGTACAAGAAGGAAAGCATTTGTGATGCTTGTCAGAAAGGAAAGCAAGTTAACTCCACTTTTAAGGCAAAACCGGCACACTCAACTACAAGGATACTAAGTCTTATTCACATGGATTTATTTGGACCAGTTACTCCAATAAGTCTAAGTGGAAAGAAATATGTCCTGGTGGTAGTTGATGACTACTCAAGATACACGTGGACAATCTTCCTAAACTACAAGAAGGAAACTCAAGGGAAGCTCACAAACTACATGAGGCTGATTCAAAATCAAGCAAGTCAGACCATGGAATTCTCCATCAGACATCCGCAGCTAGGACACCTCAACAGAATAGTGTAGCTGAAAGAAGGAACAGAACCTTGAAGGAAGCAGTAAGAACCATGCTAGCCGAAGCTTTCTTGCCAAAGAGGTTCTGGGCTGAAGCTGTAAACACAGCTTGCTATACTCAAAATAGGAGTATGATTTATAAAAGGCACAGCAAAACTCCCTATGAACTGTGGAATGAGAGAAAGCCTAATATATCATATTTCCATATTTTTGGGAGCAAGTGCTTTGTGTTAAACAACGGGAAGAATCATCTGAACACTTTTGATGAGAAATCAGATGAGGCCATCTTCCTAGGATATTCTATGGTGAGTAAGGTGTTCAGAGTCTTCAACAAAAGGACCATAATCACTGAAGAGTCAATACATGTTATTTTTTATGAAAAACATGTGGTTGACAAGCCATCAAAGCATGATCATGAGGTTCTGGATCTCTCAGACAAGGATGAAGAAACCAATGAAGGAGACAGAATGAAGCCTACGGAGTTCATTCCATTCGGAAGTCTACCACTGAAGACTTCACAAAGAAATCCGGATTCAGACGGTGCTGAGCCTACCAGAAATCATGGCCAGCCTTCCAATATTCCGGATCACTCAAATGGCGACAATTCCGGAAGTGGTGACCTAGTGCCAATCCATCCGGAATCACCAACAAATTATGTTCTTCAACTTGAAGCTGAACTAGATCAACCAGTCAACCCTAATCAAAACAATCTTCGTTGGTTAAGGGATCATCCTCCTCAACAAGTCATTGGAGGCATTCAATCCGGCGTTCGCACAAGGAGTTCTCAACAGAATCTAGAAGCCATGCTTGCTTGTTTCATTTCACAAGTGGAACCAAAGAGCATTGAAGAAGCTCTAGCTGATTCTGACTGGATCAATGCAATGCAAGAAGACCTCAACCAATTCACCAGAAATGATGTCTGGAAACTTGTTCCTAGACCTACTCATCAACATGTCATGGGACAAAGTGGGTCTTCCAGAACGAGATGGATGAAAACGGCGTTGTTATTAGAAACAAAGCCCGATTGGTTGCCAAAGGTTATTCTCAAGAAGAAGGTATAGATTTTGATGAAACCTTCGCTCCAGTTGCTAGACTTGAAGCTATAAGGCTGTTTTTAGCCTTTGCTGCTTATAAGGACTTCAAAGTCTATCAAATGGATGTCAAAAGCGCATTTCTCAACGGAAACCTAGAGGAAGAAGTTTATGTGGAACAACCTTTAGGATTTGAGTTACACACTAAAGGCGATCAAGTGTATAGACTCAAAAAGGTGCTATATGGACTCAAACAAGCACCAAGAGCTTGGTATGATACATTGTCTCAATTTCTAATAGACAATGGATTCATCAAAGGAGTCATTGACAAGACCTTGTTCAAACTTCAAGATGGAGAAGATCTCCTTTTGGTCCAAATCTATGTGGACGACATCATATTTGGCTCAACTAAGGAAGCTCTTTGCACCAAGTTCTCCACCCTCATGCAAGGAAAATTTGAGATGAGCATGATGGGGGAACTCAATTACTTACTTCGTCTTCAAATCAAACAGAGAAGTGAAGGGACTCTCATAAATCAAATCAAGTACACAAGGGATCTTATCAAAAAGTTCAAAGTTGATCAGAAGTCATCCGTTTCTGTCCCCATGAGTACATCCACCAAGCTTGACATGGATGTAAATGGTAAGAATGTTGATCAAACTCTCTACAGAGGAATAGTTGGATCTCTACTCTACCTTACTGCAAGCCGTCCGGATATCTCATATGCAGTAGGTGTTTGTGCTAGATTCCAGTCAAAGCCAAAGGAAAGTCATTTTTTTGCAGCCAAAAGGATTCTTAGATACCTCAAAGGAACTAAGAATATGGGTTTATGGTATGCTAAGAGCAGCTCATATGAGTTAGTGGGATACTCAGATTCTGACTTTGCCGGATGCAAAGTTGACCGGAAGAGTACATCTGGTACTTGTCAATTCATTGGCAGAAATCTTGTTTCTTGGTTCAGTAAGAAACAGAACTCCATCTCTACATCAACAACAGAAGTAGAGTACATTGCTGCTGGTAGTTGTTGTGCTCAAATCTTGTGGCTAAAGCAACAACTACTGGATTATGAAGTCAAAACAAAGGAAGTGACAATATTTTGTGACAATCAAAGTGCTATAGTCATCTCACAAAATCCAGTGCATCACTCTCGCACTAAGCACATTAATGTCAAGCATCACTTCACCAGAGATCATGTGGAAAATAAAGATATCAAAATTGAGTATATCTCAACTGAAGAACAATTGGCGGATATCTTCACAAAACTACTAAGTGAAGTCAAGTTTTCCGATTTGCTTCACAAAATTGGTCTAATTCAATTAGACTGAGTGCGGTACACGTGGCAGCCCACTTTCCACGTCTACTAAAGTAATGGGTAGGCACGTAGCCTTGGGAACAGTTGAAAACCCAATCTCCACTAGCCGCATAAATTGCCCAAAATTAAACCCAATCGCCACTATATTCAGATCTCAACTACCCACTCAGCCCACTCAAATTTTCGTCGTCTTCCTCGCGAGAATTGTCAAGAATCCTAATTTCTTCAGATGGTTTCACCCAAAATTCAGAGAAAATGAAGATTGTTGGCGCAAATGTTCATTTCTAGAAATTGGAAGCCAAATGTTCTTCACCGGCGTTCTATCAAACTTATTTGGAGATAATTGCTGCACAGGAACTCTCCGAATTCCTTCATCTGGATATCGGCTTCAAGTATGAAGAAGAAGTTCTTGAATTCTACAAGAACGGGAAGATCTCAACGATTCAATCCAAGAAGAACCCACAGAGGACGATTCAAGTAATTAAGTCCACTGTTGGAGGCACCAAGGTGAAGATTTCTCAGAAGAAATTGATGAAAAAGCTCCATCTTCCCAATTCTGGAATTGAAATTGGGAAGCTCCCGTCCAAGAATCTGGACTGGAAAACTATTGGGATTTCTGGACAAATCCCCTCTGGCCCAGCAAAGAAGGCCGACTTGAAGAATGACTACAAATTGGTCCTAGAGCTAGTCATTGCATGCCTAGAATGTGGCAGTGGAGGACATGCAGATGACATAACTCAAGAAAGGGCATTCATCATCAACGCCCTCATTACCAGAACCAAGGTAAATTGGGCTAAACACTTCTTCAACTCTGTTTGAAAGCATTTAGGGAAGCCCAAGCAGAAATATCTCTGTCAAGGATTGTACCTTGGGTACATTTTAGAATCCTTGGGTGCTGCTTCTGACGGCAAGAAGTATGATGCCAGATATTGGCTCTACTATCTGTCTTCTAAAGGAGAAAACAGAGCTAGTTCAACTGCAGAAGATGAAGGCTCTTCAGACAATGTCCTAATTGTATGTCTGAAGAAGTCCTCAAAGAGGAAGCAAGTGGTGTCTCCCTCCCCCAGCACTAAGGCACCACACAATCTTGCAATGGTTAATTTGGATGAAGAAAAAGAAGTTCCTGTCACGAAGAACTTCAGAAGAAGAAGAAAAGAAGAATCTCATCTCCCTCTACATCTGGAAATGCAAATCCGGATGACTTGGTGGAAAAGGAACCATTTGAGGAAGCCCTTGCACACAACCAGAGTCCTCAACAACTTGATAAAGAAATCCCTCAAGACCAGAGTCTGCCATCTCCTCCATCACAAGCTCAAACTGATGATGAAGTGAGCAAATTCATGCAGCTTTACTATGATTGGAGAGCTTGGAAGGTTGGAAACTCTGCAGATCAGTTGTTAGAATGGGATCAACAACTGAAGAATGAGAAGGTCATCAAGAGGTGTTTGGGACTGCCAATCAACTACTGTTGTGAGCAAATTCTGGATGATGAATGGGTATGGCAGAAAACCTATGAGGATCTACATCTGGAATACTTGGCCACCTCTCCAACTTCAGAGTTTGAAGCTGATGATGAGGACCCGGCTGTTTACAAACCAATCCTCTCAAAGCCAACTGAAGATCAGACTGTCCTCATCACTGAAGCACAGGCTGACATGGAAGCCACAGCTGAAGATTTCCAAGTTTTTCCGGAAACCTCACCTGCTTTTGATACTGTTCTGCCTGAAGCTGTTCAGGAGAATGCAGCTACTCCCCAGCAAGAACAGATTCAAACAACATCTGAAGAAGAGCTTCTACAATCCATACAATTTCAGGTTCAAGAGATTCTCTCAAGCCCTTTTGAGATCTCCAGCTCAACAGAACCTGAAAATCTGGAAAAGTTAACAGAGAATCTGGAAAAGTCACCTCTTCTAGAAACTACAGAGGAAGGAGCTCAAGAAGAACCAGCCATTGAAATCCATAGAAGCTTTGAAGAAGCTGTAGAAGCAGCTCAAATAGCTAGGCTGGAGGCCTCTGAACCTCCAGTAGCTATCTTTGAGCAGCAAGATGAAGATGAAGTCAGAGATTCCCTCTCTAGAGATATCTCAAATTATGGAAAAGAAGAATGTTAAGCGTGTCGTAGCACCTACAAATTAGTTTATTATTTTCCTTAACTTCAATCCCCCTTTATGAACTTGTATTCATTAAAACATATAGATAGGGCAAGTAAGGGTCGATCCCACGAAGAAAGATACTTTTTAGACTATGAAAATCAGTTCACTTGTCACTTTTATTGAATAAAAACTAACTAAAATCTAAAAAACTAAAACTAAAGGATATGGGGGGGTTTGAAAGATAAAATTAAATGATAAAAATGCAAATTAAATAAAGATAAAGATAACAGATAAGAGATGGAACTACATCAGCAACTCGAACTCAGAAGAACACTCAGGGAGAAAGAAACACACAAAAAACAATCACACAATAAACTTTATAAAAACGTAGACAATAATAATTAACTTAAACCATTTTGAAAATACTTATAGTTTTTACTAGAAAATAAACTGACCAAATCTGATCAATCAATTAATTATGCCTTGCTTCTGAAATTAAACTGCTAATTAAACTCAGGGTTAGGCTGAAGAAGAGGTCCACCAACGGTTCTTCCCTATTCTCCCATTCATATTAGCTCATGTTAGGACCAACCCTAACTCTAAACCCTACTACCCTTAGCAACCCAAAGACCAACCCTTAAGTTACTACTAAGAATAGCGCATTAAGATCTTTGGAGAACATCACCATAACAACTTTGCAGTAACACTACAGTTATTTAACAAAATCAGTTCGAGAACCTTGATTAGCAAAAACCACTTAGCGGCACAGCAAGTACTAATCAAGTGACACTTGGTTTCTAAAAAAGTTCGGCTATTTAAAGCACTTTGGACTTTAAAAGAATATCATTTTAAACTGGATTAGGCGCGCGTTCCTAATTTCGCCCAATTTAAGTAAAATCTGGTGAATAATAATTCTCAGAACACCTTTTTGAGTTTAGATTTAACAGTAGCATAGAGCTAAAATCTCTTCAAAGTCAAATTAATTCAACAAACAAAGATTCAATCTTTTTGTCAAACAATCTAGCCTAAGAAGGTTTTATAATTTGAGAGACAAAATTAACAAATCGCAATTTGGACAATTCAACATCAACACACAAACAATTCATCACCTATAATATAACTTAAACATTCAACATAAAAACAAGAATTGAAAATAAATAGAAAAAAATATTTAGTATAGGAAATCATATTCAACAATGGGAATTGAACAAATATGATAGCCTAGAAATATAACCAAGTATAATCAAATACGGAGTAAAAGGAGTAAAGTACAAAATGCTCCCCTGTTCTGCTTCTTTGTTCTTCGTCACTTTGCCGCCAGAGAAGAGACACCAGACTTAAGCCACTGCCTTCTTCAATAGCTGCCGTGCCTTGTGTCGCCATCGCCACCATCACCGAACCTAGGGTCGGAACCCTAGGTCGGCGGTGGCAATCCTTGCCGCTGCTATGTTCCTCTCTCTCGGTTATCTGATCTCCCTCTGGATTTGGGGTTGAAGAAGATGATTTTCTTGTGGCTTTTGTCTCCTTTTATAATCGTGGAGTTTGGAATCTTCAATTTGGAGTAGGATTCTTGGAATTTGCGTTGGATTTGGGGAAGGACTCTGCGCCTCTTCTCTCCTGCGTTTCTCATTCACGGAAGATTTCTCTTTTTTTTCTTCTTTTATTTGCTCTTCTTCCTCTCTTAATTTATTTGGTAGATGGAATAGCTTTGGGCCAAATTTGGATTGGGCCAACTTTTAAGCTCCAAAAATTCAACTTCAATATCTTCTGACTTCTTGGACTCCCATGTATTATCTACAAATTTCATGCCAATGAAAATAATATTCCAAAATAATTGTCAAATATAAATATGCTCAAAATCATGCATTTTATGTATAAAATGTAAACAGTAGCCTAAAATGCTAAATATAACAAAATATGTTTATTTTGGTATGAAATGCATATAAAACATCTTAAAAATACTAAGAAATGAGAGAATAAAATATGATATTTTGTGACTCAACAAAGAACCGGAGGAAGAGTCAGTGAAGACACTGAAGATTGATGAAGAAGAAGCTGAGCAAGGAGAAGATGCTGAATCCCTCCCTCTGCAACTCTTCCATAGAGTACCTTCTTCACAACAAGTAACAAATTTTCATTTTCACAGCTCTTCCGCATCCACCCTTCCGGATGAGATACCGGAAATCTGGACAAAGAAAGTCCAAGGGTTGATTGAATCAGCCATGGAGTCTCAGCGTGCCTCTTTTAGGCAAAAGATAGAGCAGATGGAAACAAGGCACAACAAACTGATGAAAAAATCTGAAGAAAAGTATTGCTCAAATCTCAACGAGATAAGCAAATCTATAGACAAAACTCTAGAGATCTTTTCTCTATTAAGTAAGTCTGTGAGCAATACAATGATGGCTTATGCATCTGACTGCCATCTTCAATTCAAAGAAGCTATTGCAATCAAGCAGCAGACTTCCACAGTCACAGTCAATCTTCAGAAGAAGATGTCTCTCCTCCAAATGGATATCAGATCAGCCCTGGCAGTGTCATCAGCAAACCAGGTGGTAACTCAAGACTACCTAAAGGTTCTTGCTGACAATCAGAAAGAAGCATTCAGGCTCTTCAGGCACTTTGGCACTTACACTGGGAAACACAAGCTGGAAGTGATTGTCCAACCCAGAAGTCCATCTCAAATTCCAAGAATTCCGATTGAAGTCAAACAAGGAGAACTCTCATACATTCCATCACACCTGAACATGACGGAGCTGATACTTGAAGCCCAACAGAGCAATCCGGAGAACTCAATACAGCATCTGTCAAACACTGGTTTTGATGGATCAGAAGCTGTAGGAACCATTACCTCCCACTTCACAAATGATGCCCAGACAGAGGAAAGATATAACAACCTCAAGCGCATCCAGGAAGAATGTGGAGTCATGCAAGGCATTGGGGAGGCTGCCGGATCATCCAAGCGCAAAAAGAAGTGAAGGCTCTTTTCATCAAACCAGGGGGAAGTATTGAAAACATTATTTTGTTTTGATGAAAACACCCTTCTTGTTTAAACATGAGTTTTTGGTTTAAACATTGCTTCATACATCTCTAAGTTATGCTTGAACATATTTATTCTAAGTATAATTTTTGAGACTTATCATTGAGCACATACATTCAGGGGGAATGTAATTCAGGGGGAACATAACTGTTTTTGGCTAACAATTGTTTTTGGTAATGAACCATTGATGAACTCTAAGCAATAGAAGATGGATACCTCAGTTTTAGTACTAAAGTTGGAGATCTCCGATTCAGGTACTCTACAAAATCTGCCTTCTTAATCTGAGTTTTAATCCTTAGTTCAATTCCAACTTTGCTCTAAAGTACTGGTCCTTAGGATTTTTATAATGTACAGGACTTTGGAAAATTAGTACCACTTTACTTTTAAAAATGAAATTTATTTCTTTTGGTACTACCTCGTCCTAATTAGAAATTAGAACTATAGGGAATGAAAAATGATAGATTTTATTTTGGGCCTTGAGAACCCAATAGGAATAATTTCCCTTTAGTACATAGACTATTTTTGGGCCACTCTTTTGGGCTTAGCCAAACCAGAACAGTTACGTTTTTCAAACCAAACGAAACTGATTTTTAATTGGAACAATTTCAACACTTTGGTAACTGGTAAAAGATTCCTTCAACTTTTCAAAATTCAACTTCTTGGAAGTTGAAACTCTTTTACTCTCACCGTTCCAACTACCCACTAAATGGAACTCATGAACCTCCCCTCTCTCAACTTCTCCTTCTATTTAAACCAAGCCATTCCAATCCATTCCTATCACAAACAACTTTTTCAACATGGAAAGTCTTCAAACTCACTGTCTGAGAAAAACACCAAGAAAAATATCCTCAATGGAGAAATTTTTCTTTCTCACCCTCATAGACGGCAATGGAGAAAGCCTGGTGAGAGGAAAAGATATTCAAGATATTTGGTGGAAATCTCGGCAATAGAGAAGATATTTGGTGGGAATCTCGCATATTTTTATATCTCGCCACATATCTTCTCCGAAACAATACTCGCTCCATTTTCGTTTCTTCTAATTTTCTTTTAAAAATTTTCTCTTTCCTTTTCTATTTTTTGCTCTTCAAAATTTTATTTTTAAGATTTTCTTTCTTTTCTTTTATTTATTTCAAATTGATTTCAAGTCTCCACTTCTCCTCCCTTTTTCCCTTCTTCTACTATTTTTCAAAACCTTTTCTTCCCTAGTCATCATTTTTTTCTTTCTTTAAACTCTTTTTCAAAACCCTTATTTTATCTTCCTTTTTACAATCTTTTCTCTTTCCCAAAACCTCCTCTTGTCCTTTTGTCTTTTTCTTGCCTTTCACCAGTTCCTCCTTTCCTCCCATTTTTTTGTTTTTGTTTTTGCCTTTTGGAGAGTAGTTGTTGCTTCCAAGGTCTTAGTGTCCATTTTGGATGTTGAGATCCATCAAACACAATGCCATCTGAACTTCCAAGCAACATCCGCTGGAAATGAAAGCAGCAAATGGCAGAAATATCACAGATCTCAAGACAAGACTTGGTTTAGGAACTATTGTAATTTGAATTGTATTTGTTTAAGAGTTTTTGTTAACAAGCTGTATATTATGAGAAACTAAAAGAAAGTTATAAAATTAGTTCTCAGTACAGCGACAAGAACTCTTAAACACTTGTTTGTCATTATCAAAAAGGGGGAAATTGTTAGGAAAAATATTATAGATTTTGATGATGATGTATTTAGATTGTAATAGCGACTTTAGGTGACCCCCAATATTCAATGTAATTTTTCTTTTTAGAAATATTGTTAAAACCGACTTCTTGAGATTTCCAATAAAGATGTGATATTTCACCCTGTGGTTTGATGTCAATCTTTGAAGACTTAACCAAAATCAGTGATATGGAAATTGGAATTCTTGATCGGATATGTCAGAGACAAGTAAGGAATTCTCAAAGCAATTGACTACTTTGAAGATCCTCTAATCTGGAACACTACATGATAACCAGATGTCTCGCAAACAACCCGATGAAGGCTAAGTCATCCGGATTGGAAGACTAGCGCGAATCTCTTTCTCACCTGGAAGTCTATAAATGACTTTTCCGGAATTGTTAGCGAAGAACCGGATGCCTCAAGAAAGACCGGAATTCTCAGAAGCAGACAAGTGAGATAAGGACTTAGAAAATTATCTAAGCCTTGGATGAAGAAATTCTACCCGTTGGTAAGGAAAAATCAATCTCTTGATTTTCAACGGCTAGATTGAGGATATTTAAGCTGGTTCAAGAACAAATGACTTGAAGACAAAGTATGGACTTCTCAAATTAAAGAGCTTGCCCAGAATTCCAAAACAAGCACTAGAAGACAAACTGAGTACTCCACTCAATAAAGAGTTACATTTCAGAATTCTTGAACAACAGCTAAAGGACGGATTCTGTGAAAAAGGAATCCTTCTTCAAACAATTGGGTCTGTCCAAACACCCTTTCCAATGAAGAATCCTCAATCACAATCTTCATTCAAATTGAAGCCAGAAAATGCAACGGATAGTCTATTTTGATTCAATGGATAGATTATCCAATCCAGCTATATATATAGCATCCATGGAAGACTAGAGATAGACAAGAGATATATGAGATAGAAAGCACGAAACACATACAACTGAGCAATCTCCTACAACAAAGCTATCTCGTTTACATTTAGCCAAAAAGCTTGATAAAGAGAGAATTCTAAACTCCTTATCCAGAAGCAAACTTCTCTTCTTTCCAAAGAGCTATAGTGTAAACACTTGAAGGTTTTCTTGCCTCAAGTACCACACCACGTTGAAGGATACATCTTTTAATCAAACTTCTTGATTAAAAAGGGGGTACATCAACTTTCCTACAAGTTGATCTTGCAAGTTCTATTGTTCAGATCTTGCAGTTGTTGAAGAAGCTTGACCTTCGGAGGAACAACAAAGCCAGCACGTGTGCGGTAGCAACATTGGCCTTGCGAAGATATACCATGCAGAAATTCACACACGTGTAATTGTTGGTTCTTTATTCAACAACCAACTACATAGTGGATTTTGAGGACGTAGAAGGATTACCCCACCTTCGAACCTCGTTAAAGTTTGTGTGTCTCTCTTTTATCTTTACTCACACTTGCAATTATATTAACTGTGAAACTAACCCATCCATATTGATTACTGCTTTACAAACCCACCAACTTCCGCACACAATCTAAGGTTCACAAAAACTCTAGATTAACACTCATTTTCACGTTTTCAAAAGAAACGAAAAAGTCTTTAAATTGTAACAAAGTCTATTCACCCCCCTCTAGACTTTGTATCTCACCACATTGGGACCTCCACTCTTCCCATCAATGGGAACTTCCTCCCATCGATGGGTGATTGACTTTAATTTTTTTTAAAACACTTAACGGATTTACAGAAACTCTTTACCCACCGGCTCCACCGGACAAGCGCCTCCTCCTCTACATCATTACCCGGAATCTTTGTCCCCGGGACAGCAACCATACCTCGCTCTTCAACGAGGATTTGAAGGCGATCCACGCCATCATCCACGGCGCCTCCATCAATTGGGAGAAATTCGTCATGATCCACATGGTGGATTGTGCCTCCATCGCCACCAAGCGGAGCTTGCCATACGCCTTCCTTGTTATGGATCTCATTGTTGCCTCTGACATCCATATCGTCGGACCAGATACGAAGATGACGAATATTTGGATCATCCAAGATAGCACCTTCCGGAAGAAGTCCGGAAACTGGGACGACGCCGGACCGAGTCGTGCCCGTGCCCCCGCTCCAGCCCGGGCCTCTTTGCAGTCCATAGCCGACACCCTGAATCGGCTAACCCTCACGGTGGACGACATGGGGAAGTGAATGGAGCGAATGGATTGGATGATGCAACGCCAACACCACGACATGACGGCGTTCTTCTACTGCATCAACTACGTCCCACCACCTTTCGACAGCACCATCCTCGGCAAAAACTTTGAGGGCGAGGATGAGGACGACGACTCCTACACTCCGTCCTCCTCTCCCGACGAGGCCGACTTTGAGGACGCAGTCGACGACGATCCCATGGACGTCGAGGACGACGAGGACGAGGACGCGATGCCTAGACTCGTCCTTTCCTTCCTTTTTAAAATATGATTGTATTTTTTATTTCCATTCCGCTGTATTCCACATTTCCCTTTTCTTTAATGAATAAAAGTTTATTCTTAATTCTTTTTGTTAATTTCAGAAGGGTGAAGATAAAAAGGTTATGCATAAATTGAGGGGGAATTTTTTTAAAAACAAAAAACTCTCATTCATCACAAATACTTTATTGAAAATAAAATTGCGTTTATTAAGGGGGGGACATTTTTTAAGTCTTAAAATAATCCTCCTATGCATAACCTCGTCTTGTTTGTCATTATCAAAAAGGGGAAAATTGTTGAAACACGGGTTTGTCACGTTTTCGTACTAAAGCCGTGTTTGTTTTTTGTGACAGGTTTTGATAATGCCAAACCGCCGAGAATAAGACAAGTCTTTGAATATACAAGGTGAGAATCGAAGATAAGAACAAGAGCCAAACCAAGACCAAGAACGAAGACCATAGTCTTAGTGTCGTTGAGTCTGTAACACCCTAATCCGTCCAGGTCTGCAGCCCCTTTCGGACTAAAGTATTAACTTGGTAATCGTAAAAATTTAAAACATTTCAAACATTTTTATTTATAAATAATATTCCATACATAATTGTAGAAAATACGGAGTGTTTAATAATAATAATGCGGAAGCGACTTTCAAACATGTCTCATAACAACATAATTATTTATTTTGTTCAATGATCCACCACGACTGTCTCTCCCCTTCTGCTGCCAGGAATCAGCCAATCATTCATTCTATCTACCTGCGTGTAGCAAATAAAACATACTACACGCTCAGCGATGAAGCTGAGTAAGCATATCTAAAGCGTCGAACATCCAAATAAATTGAATCTCAATTCATAATCAACCATTTCATATCATGCACACAATATATGATTCAAACATTCATGATATTCTCATTATTTTATTCCAAGTCATTCGATATTCAATATCTCAACCATGCTCTTAAATTATTCTTAATCTAAGGCCAAATCATTTTATATCAAGCTCTTAGATATTCCTAGTCTAAGGCAACATTTCTAACCAGGC